GTCATCAGAGGGATAACAGTTACTCTGCACAAATTGCACAGTCTATCCCATTGGTCGAAGTAGTTCACATGGTGAAACTATCTTAACTACTTTAACTGGACAAAATGCATAATTACCTGGATAGGATCAACTGCACAAACTGCACAATCTGGCTTAATTAAGTAGGTCACATGGTTTAACTAGCTTGAATGCTTCAACTGAACAATGGGCATAACTAGGGTATTCAGTTCAACTGCACAATTTTAACAATCTAGCTCAAATGGTTAGAATAACTTTAAGGAAAAAACGGCAGAAACTGTGGAATCTAGCTGAATTGCTTGAAGTGGTTGAAATAGCTTAAGTGGTTAAACACTCAAACTAACAAGGAAGCAGTTAAACTAAAAAGTTGCAAACAGCGGAAGCAGTCAAACTGCACAAAATGCAGAAAGTAGCTGAGTTGGTTCAACTGGCTCATATGGACAAAATCCACCAAAAAGCTACATTGGGTCAAATGGTTTTAAGCCATCAAACAAGCGAAGACAGTGAAACGCAAAGAAATGGACAAACTAGCTGAAATGGCTGTTTCCCACTGAATTACGCTCTTTTCAGATGTGCCGCATCCCGCATCCAAAAAAAAATTTTTTGCCACTTTGCAGCTAATCACGCTAATTTTAGCTTTATCTCACTCAATCCAATCGTCACGATTTAAAGGAGCGTGGGTGGAGTCAAGATGCCAAGCCTCCAAGCAAAGGCGCTGGTGGCAACGCCGGTTAGTGGTAATAATTTAAGAATTATCCCACCCAATTGTGTGGTTAGTTAGGTATATGTGCTCTGATAAAGCTGAATTTTCCTTTTTGCAAAAGAAAACCGCTTTTTGATGCTCTTTCGATCGTGTACCAAACTGACGTTTAGTCTGTCCGATGTATTCGTTGTCACAGTTATCGCAAGGAGTAGAAAAAATGGCATCGGCTAGCTGTTCTTTCGTGACAGGATCCTTAGGTTTGGCGAAAATATGCCCTTTAAATTGTGACGATGGCGGCTTACTTCCTGACACATCAGAAAAAAAGGCAGCTAATTAGTGATCATATGAAAGGACCTATTGTTGCAGCGTTTAGATCACCCCTGATGAAGGCACTGGACAGGAGTGTCGAAACGTTAGTTCTTTAAATTGTAACTTCTTCGGTTACATTCATTAAATCTGTAAACCAGAGTAGCATCAAACCATGTCTGATCGTCCACCTGGTTGCCGTAGGAACTTTAATACATTTTATGTCTTTGTATCTTGCCAGCTAACCACGCTCGTTTTAGCTTATCTCACTTAAAACAACGTTTTTGCTTTTCTGCTGCTTAACTACACTGTTTTCAGCCTTTTTTTCACCGCAAAAACCTAATCTGCGCCTTTTCAGCTAATCGCGCTGTTTCTACCTCTATTTCGGTCAAAATAACCTATTTTCTTTTTTATCGCTAAATTACACTGCTTTCGGCTTTTTATTGCATTTGGAAAACGTTTTCTGCCTGTTGCAGCTAATAACGCTGACTTTCGCCATATCACTGAAAACGTTTTTACTTTTTTGTCACTAACTTTCGCTGTTTTCAGCTCTTTTCAACGAAAATTGTTTTCTGCTTGTTTACAGCTCTTCACACTATTTTCGCCTGTTTGCAGCTTATCACGCTGATTCTAGCTAGATCTTACTTATAACAACATTTTTGCTTTTTCTGTGCTAATTTACGCTCTTTTCAGCTCTGCCGCACCGAGAACCTTTTTTTGTGCTTGTTTACTTTTGTTACGCTGTTGTTAGCTTTCTTGCACTAACATTGGTTTTTTGGCCTGTTTGCAGGTAATCATGCTGATTATAACTATATCTCACTCATAAGAACGTTTTTGTTTTTTTTGCTGCCAAACTACGCTCTTTTGAGCTCTATCGCACCGAAAACGTTTTCCCGCTTGTTTGCTGCTGTTACGCTGTTGTTAGCTTTCTTGCACTAAAACTGGTTTTTTGGCCTGTTTGCAGATTTAAGCTTTATCTCACTGAAGACAACGTTTTAGCTGTTTTGTTGCTAAATTATGCTGTTTTCAGCTTTTTTTGCGCTGAATAAAGGCTTCGCCTGTTTACAGCAAATCACGCTGACTCCAGTAATATCTCAATGAAAAGAACGTTTCTGCGGATTTATTGCTAAATTACGCTGATTCTAGCTCTATCTACCTAAAAAAACGAAATTTTTGCTTTTTTCTGCTAAGTTACGCTCCTTTCATCTCTATCACAAGAAAACGTTTCCAGGTTGTTGTTTGCTGTTGTAACACTGTTTCTAGCTTTCAATAAAACTGATTTTTTGTATTGTTTACAGCTAATTGACTGATCTTAACTTAATCTCACTGAAAACAACGTTTTCGCCGTTTTGTTGCTGAATTACGCTGTTTTTAGCCTTTTTGCACTGAATAAAGATTTTTGCTTGTTTGCAGCTAATCATACTGATTCTAGCTATATCTCACTGAAAAGAACGTTTTTTGCTGGTTTAGTTCTAAATTACGCTGTATTCAGCTTGAAAAAAAAGGAAAACTTCACTGGAAGAAGGTTTTCGCCTGGTTGCAGCTAATTATTAATTATTCCAGCCATATCTCACTCATAAGAACATTTTTGCCTTTTTGCTGCCAAGTTACCCTCTTTTCAACTCTGTCGCATCAAAAACCTTTTTTGTGCTTGTTTACTGTTGTTACGCTGTTTTTAGCTTTCTTGCACTCGAACTAGTTTTTTTGGCCTGTTTGTGGCTAATTGACTGATTTTAGCTTTATCTCACTAAAAACAACGTTTTCGCTGTTTTGTTGCTAAATTACGCTGTTTTTAGGCTAATTTTTATTGCACTGAATAAAGGTTTTCGCTTTCGTAGAAAAGGTTGTGGTTATTCATCGTGGCGAATAACAATAAAAGCTACGTTTTTCGTTTGTTTCACGATGTAGTCACGTGTGATGTAGATCGCGACGTTTTGACTGCATACTGCTAGTCTTCTTCGGGCGATTAGGTCGACTGGTCATGCGTGATCTTATTAAGCATAATGCTAGACTTCACCCTAACAAAATCAACAGGGATACTGGAATAGAAATTTGAGAAGCGTGGGTGCCCACGATAAAAAAAACACAACAACAGGAGAGGCGTGCGACAGCGGACCGCCAAAGGAAGCAAATCACTGAGTGAACAGCAAGGACCGAATTACACTAGTCAGAGCTGTTGAAAAACAACTAATCACTGCAGAGCATAACTGGGCAAAATGAACAATTAGCTTAATAGGATCAACTGCAAAAACTGCACAATCTAGCTCAATGGGTCGAAGTAGCTCATATGCTCAAACTAGCTTATTTGCTTCAATAGAAAAACAATGGATAACTAGCCTAATCAGTTCAACTTCACAACCTGGACAATCTAAATGGTTAGCCTGGTTTAACAGTCAAACTGAGGTTACCTGAGAAAAACTGCACAATCTATCTCAAAGGGTTAAAGTACTTTAAACGGCCAGACCAACGAAGACAGTCAAATATCACAGATTGAAAAATCTATTTTGATTGGTTGAAGAAGTTCAAATGACCGAACTGGCTGAAATGGTTCTACTGAACGAGACGTATAACTAGCCTGAATGGTTCCATTGCACACACTGCACTATCTGGCTTAATTGGTTTAACTAGTTAAGATAATCAAAGCAGCAGAAACAGTAAAAGTGCCCAGATTGCACCATCTATCTGAAATGGTTGATGTTCAAATGCTTAAACTGGGTTAAATGGTTCAATTGGACAAAATGAATAACAAGCCCGATAGGATCAACTGCACAAACTGCACAAACTCGCTCAGACGGTTAAACTACACAGATTGCACATTCTTTGTTGGTAAAGTTGTTCAAATGGCTTCACTTGCTTCAATGGGTCAACCAGACAAAATGCATTACTAGCTTAAATGGTTTAACCGGATAAAAGGCGTAGATAACTACATCAGTTCTACTGCACAAACTATAGGAATAAAGAATGGATTTTACGGCTAATACAGCTTGACCTAGAGGGAATCACACATGGAAGGACACAAAGGAGACAAGGAGCAAGATTTACAAAGGAAAATGAACGTTTTAGACGAAGAAAAGGATGGCATTTGGCGTGAAATGGATGTGGAAAACAAGTCATCTCGGAGTTGGTCACCACCTGCAATATCTCCGCTGACCGGTATCGTAGTTGCTGAAGACACTCACGTGGATACGCGAAAAAATGGAAAAGGGTAGGGAATTTGAGATTCAAAGGTTAAAGGAAATTCGAAAAACTGCTCTTGTTAACTTACCTAAGCAGATGAACCATTAAAATAAGCTATTTGTTAAAATGCAAGATGTACATGATATGGATCTCAGGGCCTTTGATGATGATGATGAGATCAAATTAGCTCAGCAATGGTATAATAATCGTGATAAAGTTTGTGTTTCGTATTAAAGCAAAGTATTATCTGGGTGAGGCAAAGAAGTTGTGCGGTGATTCGCAAGATGGGCTGAAGAGAAAACTTACGAGCAGTTTGACGAACAACAAATCATTGATGGCATGATGATTATTTGAAAGATGTAGGAGCTAATCTCACTTCCATTCCCATCTTATCTGAGACACAACCTAACGGTCAGTCTACACTAAAGGTACCTTCTGTGAAATTCCAAAGTTCAGCTCTTGTCAGCACCATTTCAACGACCACTTCTGTCACCACGCACATCTCATTAGTATGAGCCCAACTACCCAACCGTTAGATCCAAGGAGCCTTCCCATTAAGGAAGAAAAAAAATTAAAGAAGACAGTGCGACTACCACTGATACCAGACTATCTCATGACGATCAGCAAGGATGTATGTACGTTTGCAGAAAGGATTCAAGCCCTGTAGAAAGTACAAGACCAGATCATGACTATATTGACATTGAAAGGAAACAGAGAGAACTGTCAGAAAGGATTTTTGTACAACGGGCCAGATGTCTCTTACCTCGCCTTAACTATGTTCCCTGGAGATGTGATGTCACGCCCTCTTTTTGTGGTGGCCGAATGGAGATCTGACTAAATGCCATCTCAATGCTGATCGTACTGCGTAAGGCTCATCCTCGTTTCCACAAATAATATTTCTCGGACTCACAGTGCTGGGACAGTTCAGACCGATGAGAAGTCCTATTTCTACATGTCATCCACTGACACTATCAAGGAGAGCGTACACGCATATCTTGTTATTTGGATTATCCTTGTGGTAGAAGCATACTGAGGCTGTACCCACAGTGCTTGTAATGTCACCAGCATTCGTCACACTGGGAATGGCGGTGCGCACATTGACTCGCTCTTCCCTTTTCCTTTCGGTGGTTTCTCATGCTGGCTGCTTCCTTCCTTCCGTCCTCACCTCTTCTGGTCTCCAGTTGTGATCGTGAAGTGACGTTGGGTGTTTCTTATTGCATATCTGGCATGATCTTCTACTCTTGCCAAACTTGGCGATGTGTTCAGAACTATAACAACCGAAGCATAAACCTTTGTCTGTAACAAAGTCTTTTCGATCTACTTGGGGTTTTTTAGAAACTTAGCACATTCATCCAGGTGGTGACTTTTGGAGCACAAGGTACAACTCATGGGATGAGAGTTCTTTCTCTGAGTAGAATGCATCTGTCGCCAAATCGGCTTGTTCGGACACAAACTGGTAGAGGTTATTGAAGTTGGCTGCCTGTCCCTTGTTACTCCTATTCTTGCTAACTCTTTCCGTCCATTTACTGCGAAGGTATCTCTCTCACATCTGGCGCAGAAAATTGGCCGTGTCCGAGTCATTCACGTATTGCATGCCTGTTAGGACGTTCCTTGCTCGCTCAGGGGCAATAAAAAATTTTTTTAGCCCTGTTCCGTCGTTAGGTTCCACAGAGGACCAGCTCGATAGTCTTGTGATGTATGCACTTGCAACCTTGCATGTGTTTCTAAAAAAGTCTTTCAGCCACTTTGTACGAATCTTCATTCTTCATTAGTAAGCAGCCGTTAATCAGTTCCTTTGCCTTTCCGCTAGTGTGTTGATCCAAGACATACAAGCACTCTTTAGGATTATCTACCTTAGATTCTGTGAGAACTTCAAAGGCTGCTGCGAATGATGGGTATGACCACATCTCGAGAGAACATAAGCGGCTTTTGGCTAGGTATAAGACTTCTGACCTGTCGTGTAACAATCATTTCTGACAGTTCTCACTGTTCCCTTTGAATGTAAATATAGTCTTGATCATACGTCGTGAGATAGCTTGGTGTCACTGGGAGTCCTATTGTCTTCTTCAATTTCTTCTTTTGTAATGGGAAGGTTCCTTGGATCAAACGGTTGGGCAGTTGGGTGCATACCAAAAGCAGTGACTAAGATGGGCGTGGTGACAGAAGTGGTCGTTGAAATGGTACTGAAAATAGCTGAATCTTGGAATTTCACAGAAGGCACACTCACTGTGGACTGACCGTTACCTTGTGCCTCAGAGAAGATTGGAATGGATGTGTTATTGGCTTTTACATCTTTCAAATAATCATTCATGCAATCAATAATTTGTTCTTCGACAAACTGCTTATAAGTTCTCTCTTCAGCCTTTGCCTCTACAATTTGCCACCGAAGTTCAAGCTCCACAGAGGCCATTCTTAGCGCTTGCTTCTTATGTAAGAATTTTTTGCCTTAACCTCTAATGCTGTCGCCTCAGCCTTTGCTTCAATCGACTTTAGTTAGCTGATGTTGAGAAAGTGGAGGACCTTGAGTGACCGGATGATTTAGATTTCACTGTGCATGTATCATGCGAATCACCACGCAAATTCTTTGCTTCACCCACAAAGTCAATAATACTTTGCTTTAATACGAAGCGCAAACATTATCACGACTGTTATACCATTCCTGAGTTAATCAAATCTCGCCATCTTCATCCAAGGCCCTGAGATACATATCATGTGCTTCTTGCATTTTAACAAATAGCTTATCGAACTGCACAACTTCAGTGGGCACTTGTCGTTCTCAAAATTTGCCAACAAAAACGAGATTATGTTCATCCGCTTAGGTAAGTTAGGAAGAGCAGTTTTTCGAATTTCCTTTAACCTTTGAATCTCAAATTCCCTACCTTTTCCATTTTTTCGCCCATCCACGTGTGTGTCTTCAGCAACTACGATACCGGTCAGCGGAGATATTGCAGGTGGTGACCAACTCCGAGATGATTTGTTGTCCACATACATTTCTCGCCAAATGCCATCCTTTTCTTCCTCCAAAACGTTCATTTTCCTTTGTAAATCTTTCTCCTTGTCTCCTCTGTGTCCTTCCATGTGTGATTCCCTCTAGGTCAAGCTGTATTAGCCGTAAAATCCATTCTTATTCCTCTAGATTAGTAAAACGCTCGACACTGTTTAATGGTCTACAATGTACAATTCATGTTACCGTAACCGTTTATCCACGAGTCTACGCAATTTTCAATCCTTTAGTCTCCTCGTAAGTTCCTTTACAAATGACAGTCCAGTAACTGGTTCCTCAACCGTATACAAGCGAAGTATGAACGAAGCAGAAGAAAAGGCTTCGCGCCGGGTTTCGTCTAAACGGCTGGAATGAATCTCGGTAAAATCACGTGACCTAAGATTCTCGGACGGACTAGCTCGATTACAAAGGATAACCAATGTCAGAAACTGGCATTTACAATATCTGCTATAACCCTGAATACTGTTACCAGTTAATGCTTTTAATAACAATGACACGTCGATGCTTGCAAGCAATGTACCAAGGAAGCCACCACTTTGTTTCTTTGTTGGTTTGATGATAAAAGGACTTCCTAACTTCATAGCTTCTGCTAGTTTTATTAATCTGGCTTGCAGTAAACATATCCTGATAGGAGATAAGTTGTGCTATTTTATCAATGGGTATCATGAAACTATTCAGGCCACTTTGACCATGTGAACTACCTCGACCAATTAAAATAGGTTTTCCAATTTGTGCAGTTTGTTTGTGTCTGCTTCTTTGACTATTTAAGCATTTGAGTTAGCTTGACAAGTTTGTGCAGTTGAACTGATTTAGTCATCTACGCCTTTAATCTGGCTAAGCCATTTCAGCAAGTTAGGCGTTTTGTCATTTAAGCTAGATTGACCATGTAAAAAGTAGAACCAACTAAATTAGTTTGACTATTTTGACTTCTTACACCAATTGGGCTCGATTGTTGTCCTCTTGAGCTTTTTAAAGCTAGTTTGACCATTTGAACTTCTTGTGTATTCGACTATCTTTGCTGGTGCGACAATTTAATCAGTTAGTCAAACCATCGAAAACAGTAAACCTGCAAAAATTTCAAAATCTTATACCATTGGTTAGACTTGTTCCAAGGACAAAATGCATGACCAACTTAACAGGTTCGACTTTTCGGTCGAGCTTAATTGGTTGACCTGGTTAGATAAACAAACAGTGAAACTGCAGAAATTGCACAATCCATATTGAATGGTTAAAGTAGTTAACATGGTCAAACTGGTTGAAAATATTTGACTGGACAAAATGCATAACTTGCTTAGATGGTTTTATTGCACAACCTAACTTAATTAGTTAAACTAGTTAAAATGGTCCAACAAGCTTAATCGGTCAAAGGGTTAATTAGTTTAATTGGTTAAAATAGTCAAACTAACAAAAAGAGTTGAGCTGCTAAAAGTTTACAAGGTATCTTACTTGGTTAAGGTCGTTAAATGACACCAGCCTCAATGGTTTACCCGGACAAAATGCATTACTAGCTTTCATGATTCGATTGAACAAAATGTATAACTGGGTCAAATGATTCAGCTGTACAATCTGTACAACGTGGCTCAATTGAATTAAGTTGTTCAAATGGTCAAACTAGGTAAATTGATTCAACTAGTTAAATAGTCAAATAAGGGAACACAGTTACACTGCACAAATTGGACAAATTATCCTCATTAGTTCAAGTAGTTTGAATGGTCAAACTAGCTTAGAGTTAGGATTTAATCAGACAAAAAGCATAACCAGCTTAAATAGTTTAACTGGTTAAAAATTCAAACTAGCAAATACAGTTAAAATTAAAAAATTGCAAAAAGTGGAAAAAGTTAAACTGCACCAAATGCAGAAAGTAGGTGAGTTGGCTCAATTGGCTGTTTTGAGCTTTATGTAATGGCTTTTTTCTAGCTAAATTATCCTGTTTTTAACCTTATTGCACCAAAACGTTTTATCGGACTGAAAGAAGTTTTTTCGCATATCGGCAGCTAATCACGCTAATTTTGACCCTATCTTACTGAAGAAACCGTTTTTGCTTTTGGTGCAGTAAAGCTAACAAATAGCGACATTCGGCGGCAAACAACCGAAACAACGTTTTGAGCGAGATAAAGTTGAAATCAATGTGATTTGCTACAAACAGGCAGAAAACTTTTTTTCAGTGCAATAAAACTACAAATAGCTTAATTCAAAGGGAAACTAGCGAAATTACGCTTTCGGTGCGATAGAGCTGGCAAGAGTGTAATTTACAGCGAAAAAGCAAAACTGCTGTAATGGGTGAAATATAGCTAGAATCAGCGTGATTAGCTGCAAACAGGTGAAAAAGTTTTTAAAGGGCAAAAAAGCTGAAGACAGCGTAATTTAGCGACAAAACAGCAAAAACCTTCTTTTCAGTCAGATATAGCTAGAATCAGCGGGATTAGCTGCAAACAAGCGTAAATCTTTATTCAGCGCAAAAAGCAACAAAACAGCGAAAACGTTGTTTTCAGTGAGATAAAGCTAAAATCAGTCAATTAGCTGCAAACAAGACAAAAAAAGCAGTTTTAGTGCAAAAATACTAGAAACAGCGTAAACAACAGCAAACAAGCAAAACTACGTTTTCCGTGCGATAGAGCTGAAAAGAGCGTAATTTAGCAGCGAAGAGGCAAAAATGTTGTAATGAGCGAGATATAGCTAGAATTGGCGTAATTTAGCAACAAAACAGCAAAAACGTTATTTTCAGTGAGACAAAGCATAAATCAGTCAACTAGCTGCAAACAGGCCAACAAAACAGCTTTAAAGCAAGAAAGCTAAAAACAGCATAAGCAACAACCAAGCGAAAAAACGTTTTCGGTGCGATAGAGCTGAAAAGAGCGTAGTTTAGCATCCAAAAAGCAAAAATTTTGTTGTGAGTAAGATGTAGCTAGAATCAGTGTGATTTGCTGCAAACAAGCAAAATAGCGTGACAAGCTGTAAACAGGTAGAGAACCATTTTTCGTTAAAAAAGAGCTGAAAACAGCGTAAGTTAGCGACAAAAAAGTAAAAACGTTATTTTCAGTGGAAGTCAGCGTTATAAGCTGCAAAAGGCAGAAAACGTTTTTCCGATGCCATAAAAGCCGAAACAGTGTAATTTAGCGATAAAGGAGGAATTACGTTGTCTTGACTGAAATAGAGATAGAAACAGCGCGATTAGCTCAAAACGCGCAGTAAGCTTTTTGCGTAGTTTAGCAGCAGAAAAGCAAAAACTTTCTTTTAAGTGAGATAAAGCTAAAACCAGCGTGATTAGCTAGCAAAATGCAAAGACATTTTTTCGGTGAACTTAAGCTAAAAACAGCATTCAATAAAGCTAAAAACAGCTTGATTAAGTAACGAAAAAGGAAAGACCGTGGTAGAAAGCGAAATAACGAAATAACGGGTAATTTAGCTGCATAAAAGC